CTACAGCCAGACCATTCTGCAAACACAATTATCATTTTTGTCTACCAGAGGTCATATTTAGGCATGGGGATGAATTTTTGTATAGGAGGAAATGTTGGTCACATGAAATGGATCATGAAATAAAATAAAGCAGGTGAATATGACTTCGGTCCACTTCAGGCAGGAAATCATGGTCAAATTCCCTAGTCTGTACATGCATACCAGACCAGTTTAAAATAAACAAGAACAAAGCCAACATTCACAAAGCAATGAGTCTCAATCAATGAAGGAATAGACTGAATGGAAAGTCTCAGTCAATGAAGAAATAGAAAACACAGGCAAACTTAAAAAACAAAATTGCCAAAAATTCAGCCAATAAATGTCAATCATCAAAAGCCAAATTTAAAACCTGGAAAATTAACTCACTATGTCCAGGTCTAACAGGTTGGGAAAGCTCAAGTCTATGAGAAGCACTTGAGAAGAATTGCCCATCCACCAAGCAACTGTTTTCCTGTAGTATAAGGACAAAACCCAGCTCACAGTAGGACCTTTAATGAACTGGTACCTATCATGTAGCACAATGACTTCCTACCATGTCAATGCATGGACCAATCAAGGCTTAGCAAAACTTAGTGGGTTTTTTCATTTATTTATATATTCATTTATTTATTAACCTTATATCCTGATCGCAGCCCCCCTCTGGGACTCTCCCTTATTTTCCCCACCCATTCTTCTCTGAGAAGGGGGAGGCATCCCTCCTCGCCCATATTACCCAACGCTGGCACATCAAGTCACTACAGGACTAGGGGCATCTTATCCCACTGAGGCCAGACAAGGCAGCTCAGCTAAGGTAACAGGAACCGCAGGTAAGCAACAGATTTAGGGACGGCTGCCACTCCAGTTTTGGGGGGTCCCACGTGAAGACCAAGCTACAGTGCTAAGAGGAAAGTTCATAGCACTTAAGTGTCTTCGTAAAGAAATTGGAGAGATCTCGTATTAGCAACTTAACCGCACACCTGAAAGCTCTAGAACAAAAAGAAGCAAACACACCAAGAAGAGTGATTGCAGGAATAATCAAACTCATGGCTGAAATCAATCAATTACAAACAAAGAAAACAATACAAAGAATCAATGAAACTAAAAACTGGCTCTTTGAGAAAATCAGTAAGATAGACAAACCCTTAGCCAGATTAACTAAAAGGCAAACAGATAGTACCCATATTAACAAAACCAGAAATGAAAAGGGGACACAGAACAGACACCAGGGAAAGCCAAAGCCTTTACTCCACAAAATTGGAAAATCTAAATGAAACGGTTGATTTTTAGACAGACACTTACCAATGTTAAATAAAGATCAGGTAAACTATCTAAATAGAACCTATAACCCCTAAGGAAATAGAAGCAGTCATTAAAAATCTCCCAACCTGGGCTGGAGAGATGGCTCAGTGGTTAAGAGCACTGACTGCTCTTCCAGATGGTCCTGAGTTCAATTCCCAACATCCACATGGTGGCTTACAATCATCTGTAATGGGATCTGATGCCCTCTTCTTGTGTGTCTGAAGAGAGCAACATTTATTTTACTCATATAAAATAAATAAATTTAAAAAAAAAAGATCTCCCAACCAAAAAAAAATAAAAACATCCCAGATTGTTTTAGTGAAGGATTCTACCAGATTTTCAAAGAGGAGCTAATACCAATATTCCTCAAACTATTTCACAAAATAGAATCAGAAAGAAGATTGCCAAACTCATTCTATGAGGCCACAGTAATACAGGAGGTGAAAATGATAAACTTATATTGGGTGTATATATGACAATATGTACATGCAGGTTCAGGAGATGAGAGTTCTACATTTTGATCTGAAGACAGTCAGAAAGAGACTGTCTTCAGTGGCATCTATTGAGCCTCGGAGCCCTAAAAGCCTGTCTAAATAGTGACACATTCCAACAAGGCCATACCTCCTAATAGTGCCCCATCCCATAGCCCAAGCATATTCAAACTTGCCACAGGCAGTAAATTCAATTAAATATTTACATTCTTGGCGCTAGGCTGAGAGATTCAGCCCTTTAAAATAGAAGTATACAGCAAGGATTCTGAGGTTTAATAAGTTCATTTCTAAAACACGCAAACTAAAGCTACAAGCAATCTGAAAAGTATGGCGTTCCTGTATTTTGTTTGTTTACTGTTCACTTATGTAGGTTCTCCATAGCTTGGGATTGCTGAGCAAAGGAAAGGACTGAGCCAATATAAATGAATATCAAAACATCTTGATACTTTGTCGAATTTTGGTTCTAACAAATTCCTTAGAATTTTTGGTCACCAAGTTTCTAACATTTGAATGCTGTCAAATTAATGCATAGCAAACGGCAATGGTAACCAAAAAAGAATCTTTTTTGCTTATTTTTGTATGTATGTATGTATGTATGTATGTATGTATGTATGTGTTCTGTCTGATCATGTATGCCACATGCCATACACAGTTATACACAGGTGCCCATGAAGAGAGCATCAGGTCTTCTGGAGCTGGAGTTAGAGGTGGTTGTAAGCTGCCTGACATGAGTGCTAAGAACTGAACTCAGGTCCTCTGCAGGAGCAACAAGAGCTTTTAACATCTGGATCATATCCACATTTCCAAATGAATCTTTCTTTAATGAAATATTTTTTAATGCCAGCACTTGGGAGGCAGAGGCAAACATTTCTCTGTGAGTTCCTGGTCATCCTGGTTTACAAAACAAGTTCCAGGACAGCCAAGGATACCCAGTGAGACTCTATCTAAAAAAAAAAAAAAGTATTTAAACAAAGTATTAGAATAATTACATTTTAAGCCTTGCATGATGATGCATGACCATAATGCCATCACTAAAGAGGTGGGGACAGAAATATCACGAGTTTGAAGTCTGATCAGGCTGTATAAAAAGCCTGCCTTAACCCATTTTTTTGAATGCCAAATAAACAGATCAAAAAATATTTTTTAATAGATAGGCATGGGGTCTGGGCCCGAGCATAGAGCAGGTTGCAGGCAGCAGCTCAGCACCCAAACCCAGAAAACCGAGAGAAAGAGGGACTCCCAGGAGCTTTAACTCAGGCAGCATCCCAGGTAAAAATTGAATCACCCGTGATGTCTGCTGTTAGAAGTTCTAATCCAGATGCTGGCCTCCAAACTTACACTACTCAGACCTTTGAAGGGCCACTGACAAGAACATCAAACAGCTAGAGATTGGCATCACTAATCTGAAGAAATCCCTCGTTTCGCTGTCTGAAGAGACCTCCTAAAATCGCAAAGATCCTTATTGGACTTGATTTACTCTATTACAATAGAAAAGGCTGTGTACAGCTCTTGACTGTGTACAGCTCTTAAAGAAGAAGGTCGCCTTTACATAGACAAGACAAGGAGGGTTAAAGAGCATGAAATAGGTAGTGAAGGCCCTAAGAAAAATCAGAGAGAGAAAGAGACAGATGAAGGTTGGTACAAGAATTGGTTTTCAGCCTCTCCAAGGTTGTCAACCCTATTTCCTCCCATCTTGGGACCATTATTTGGGTTCTTTTTGCTTTTTTTCTGCTGGTCCCTGGCTCTCAAATAGGCAGACTAACTCTGTGATACAACAGATAAATAATTTGGTAGAAAAACCTACTCAGATACATTATCATAAGTTAGCTATGGAGGACCACAAGACTCAAGATGAGGTTATTACTTTATACAGGGTGTTTCCAAACCCATCTCCACCCAACCTGAAAGGGGGGACTTCTGCCCCTAGACCAAGCAGAGAGGGGCCACCCAGAACCCCCTCTGACAGGTGATCTGAATTCTTGCTTTGGCTGCGAGGCTAAGTAAATAAAAGATAAAAATATCTCTCTGGGTTCCCTGAGGGACAAGCCTGACTGCATAGGGGTTGATGTCAAAAGTATCCCCTCTCCAGGAAAAAGACATCGGGACAGGTATGGCCCTCATGCCTCACTGGACAACGACAGGGGGACTGGAGTCATTCAAGGTCCCCTTCAAATACTGGAGGTCAGGCCTCTATCCTTTTTATATTCACCTTCTTGCTCAAGACATCTGCCAAGGATATGACTTATGAAGCAATTAACTGTCCAGGCTTCAAATTTCTTGTTGTGGGATTACATGCTGTCATCTTTCCCTTCCCTTCGTGTGTGTGTGTGTGTGTGTGTGTGTGTGTGTGCCCTAAGACACATTAAGTACACTGACTGACCTGTGATCATGCTGAACTTTTCTCAGTATGCCTAAACCCAATTCCTTGACTATTCTTATGAACTGATAAAGAAGTTTAGATTGTTTCCCAGAAAACACTTTATAAAACGGATCCCAGCCCTGGGCAGCATTAACCTCTTAATCTCTCCTGTACAACTCAACCCTCTAATTCAGTCATTGCTGTACTAGAATGACTGTTCTGGAGATACGACTGCACCCAGTTGTAAATCTCTTCAGCAAATGCATGGGGCAGGATCCAGCTGTCACTTGGAGTTTCTTCCTTGAGTCCGCCAAGCCCATCAGCAGAACTCTCCTGTGTGTTGAACCCGGATAGCCCAGTCTCTCCTATCTGTCCTTTCCCTGAGCCAAGCGCAGACCTGAGCTTGCTGGATGGACGTTTGCCACACGGGCGCGCCCTTGAGCACAAGAGCTGCGCGACCTTGGGCGCACTGACAAGCTAAGCCAGGATCTGTTTTGATCTTTCGCGCTCCTACTCAGGCTTGACTCAAACTCGTCATTCTCCTGCCTCAGTCTTCCCAGAGCACGGCTCTCAAGCCTGCGTCGACACCCCAGACCTAACAGGAAGTTAGGACGGCACTCAGACAAGACCCAATCTCAAAGCTGCAACGCAACTCGGCCTCGGGAAGGCAGGCGCCGAGAAAAGGCCTCAATTCCAGCGTGACTCCACCCCTCTCTACCACACCCCAGCCACAGCGGCGCATGCGCCGATACGTCACATGATGCCACTCCCGGAACCCGGCGCTGGGTTTACGGAGGCGGGCGGGCCGAAGTGTCACGTGACGACCTCCGGCCAGCCAATGGATAATCGCAACGCAGGATTTCGAATGTGGTGGCGGTAGCTGAGGGTTACATGGCGGAGCGGGAGGCTGCATCAGCTCGCCCGGACGTGAGCGGCCGAGGTACGGAGCGGTACGGGCCGCAGGACTGGAGGTATCCGACGGGACGACGCGTTCTGCAAGCACCCTGAAATTGTAAGAGCTTTTGCTGTAACCTATTTTTGCTCAGCCATAGTAACAAAAGCTTTTTAGATATGACTTTGCTTTTAAAGTATCCAATAGGGGCGGGGGAGGGTCTGTGGATGGCTGACACATTATTGCCTAGCAGGCTCAAGGCCAGGTTTCCATCCCATTGTGCTCGCGCACACACACAGGCTGTAATCAACTTTAACTTCATCATTGTTCTGCATGTCATTCAGATGTCTCCAGTGCAAACTCTTAAAACTTGATGGTACTAGTTGGCTGTCTTACACAACCCACCCGTTCTTTTAAAAAGTAGTTGCATTTGTTCTGTTGAACTCCCCGCTCCAGTCTATCATATGTACATTGGTAAAAATAAATGGTTAGATAAGATATACAGTTCCTATTTAAGGCTTCATTATGCGTGGAGGAAAATAAGTCCTGGTGAAAATACTCAAGAAAAGATTCAAGAACTAAGAGGAGATGAATCAAGATAGTTCTTGTGGTGAAAATTATATGCACACATTGTGGTTGGCAACAATTTATAATTTTGAGACCTGAAAGTCTATGTTGCTTGAAGCACACTACTGTTTTTGACATGAATACATGTTTTCTCAGCTCCAAAATTACTAGAGAAAAGCTGCCAAACAGAAACCCAGATATATATATATATATATATATTGCTTCTGAACTAATACTGTAATCCTAAACACTAAAAGTTGACTATAAACATTGTAAGAAAAGTAAGCCTATTTATGTCGCATACATTTGTCTACTCAGCTACTCAGAAGGCTGAGGTAGGAGGGACATCAGAGCTCTTAAGTTCAAAACTAGACTGGGTAACAGCAATATCCTATCCAAAAATAAGTTCCCATAGAGCCTAGAATGTTGTACACTGCCAATGAGTATTTACAATAAAATGAATAATTGATACTTTCTGGAATTAATACTTTCCTATGAAATAGTAGAAGATAAGATTATGGCAAAATCATGAATGACATTTTATAGGATTTTTTTTCTTATGATGGCTTGATTCTAACATCTTTTTTTGTTGTTTTGTTTTGTTTTAGATGAGTTTTACTATGTAGCCCAAGCTTGAGTCTATGTTCCACCTGCTTTAGCCTTTTTAGTAGCTTGGATTATTCTACAACACCTGATTATTAATATTTCTAAACTGAAAAATCGAAGTTACTGCCTTTTTTGAAGTGAGTTTTGAAGTGAGTCATAATCCCTTCCTTTTGAACAACTTGTGTTTTCTTTCTCAAATTTTGTATTTGAAAATATCTGAGAAGTGTTCATCGTTTTGTTTTGTTTTGTTTTTTTAATTCAAAGACAAAGATGGTTAAGGAAAGGTGTCAGAAAAGGTCCTTTCAAGATACTCTTGAAGACATCAAGAAGCGAATGAAAGAAAAAAGGAATAAAAACTTGGCGGAGATTGGCAAACGCAAGTCCTTTATTGTTGCACCATGCCAAGTACCCAGTAAGAGATTTCTGTGTTGACTTCTTATAGCATTTTTGGTTTGTAAGTGTGGCATTTGTATGTGTAGTATACATTCTTCTTTGTGGGTGGAGTGGGGTTGGGTGTTGCTGCAGCAGAAGTTCTGGAGCCCTGCTATTAATCTCTGTCCTGTTCCCCTGCAAAGGGTCTCTCACTGAACATGGAACTAGCCTGGCAGCCTGTCTACACACTTTCAACACCTTACCTTCCCTCTCCCGACAGAGTAGATAGAGTTACCAGTGTATAGGGCCACACTTGGCTCTTTAGGGGATTTGAACTGTGGGCCTCATTGATTTCTTAGCAAGCACTCCTACCCATTAAGAGATGTCTCTAGCACCGGGCAGTGGTGGTGCATGCCTTTAATCCCAGCACTTGGGAGGCAGAGGCAGGCGGATTTCTGAGTTCGAGGCCAGCCTGGTCTACAGAGTGAGTTCCAGGACAGCCAGGACTACACAGAGAAACCCTGTCTCGAAAAACCTAACCAAAAAAAAAAAAAAAGAGAGAGAGAGAGATGTCTCTAGCCCCTGATTGATCTTCTAGGTTGAGGCTTAATAACTGAAATTTTTATCTCATAGCTAACACTTCTACACTGCTGAAATATTACCAAGACAACAACAGGTTGTTAGTTTTGGCTTTGCAAAATGAAAAATCCAAAGTGAGAGAAGCACAGGATATCATCCTACAGCTGAGAAGAGAATGCTACTACCTTACATGTCAGCTATATACACTGAAAGAGAAGCTAACTTCCCGACAAAGTGAAGAAACCCCTCAGGTATATTCAGTACAAAACTTTTCTGTGTAGTTTTGCTATATGCAGTGCAGCTTTGTAAAACTATTTAGATATGGAAAGTATTCTAAGTGATCTTTGGAGAGTCACTTTTGAAAAAAATATTTCATTATATTCATTTACTCTGTGTGTGTGTTTTGTATGGAGTTCAGAGGATAACTGAAATAAGGTGTTATATAGAAATAAGTAACATACATACATGTACCCTCACATACAATATGTATATAGACAGTATAGAAGACAGTTCTTTCTAGAAGGTGCTATTTCTTCCTGAGTGTCATGCATACCTGCAGTTTTGTGATTCCAGAACTCAGAATGCTAACGCAGAAAGACCCAAGTTATAGGCCAACCTGAGCTGCACAGTGAGACCTCGTCTCTTTTAAAGATTTTATTTATTTTATATATATAAATACACTGTACCTGTCTTCAGACACACCAGAAGAGGGCATCAGATCACATTACAGATGGTTGTAAGCTACCATATGGTTGCTGGGAATTGAACTCAGGACCTCTGGAAGAACAGTCAGTGCTCTTTACCGCTGAACCATCTCTTCAGCCCTAGAAGAGATTTTTAAAGCCTATGTATGATTTCATGACTTTTCTCTTAAGATTTCAGTTACTCTTTAAAGATTGATTTCCTTCAACATTTAATCTTTTTCCCCCCCTTATTCAGTCAGTTAATCTCCCAGGAGCTTTTCCAGGTTTTAAACAATTCCTCATTTTTACAGTTTTTAATCATATGTGTGTATGTGTGCATCTGAGTATATGCATGTGAGTGTGTATGTACATGGAGGCCAGAGATGTTGGGTCCTCCCTGAACTGGAGTTACAGGCATTTTTGAGTCACTTGAAATAGGTGCTGGAAACTAGACTTGGCTTCTTCCAAAGAGCTGTTCACACTCTTTAACTGCTGAACCATACCTCCAGTCCCTACTTCCCAGAGTTTTGACTGAAATTAGAAGAACCAATATTCAGTGACTACTTAATGACATAAGCCTCAAAACAGTAGGAGAAAAAAAATTATTCTAGCGCCTTTAATGCCATCTGTTGATGGTTTTCAGTAAAGTATATTGTTTCTAGTTAGTTGCTGATATATACTTAGCATTTAAAATAAGGTGCTTCGATTTATTTTTCTATCATACATGTATGTGATCACTTGTTCTGAACTATCCTATGCTTGTACTTCAGTGTTCAAGGTTGACTTTTTCAGTAGCAGAGAGCTTAATGGTTTTTTGTTTGTTTCTGACAGGGTGTCAAATACGTAGGCCAGGCTGGCCCCCAAACACAGAGTGTCTACCTGCTTCAGCCATTTAAGTGCTAGGTTTAAAGTGCCACCCTGAGCGGGTTAAGATGTTTTAGTGTAAGGTTTTCTTGGGCTGGGTCTGTAGCTCAGAGGTGGAATACTTGTCTAGAACGCATAAGGTCCTGAGTTCATTCATCCCCAATGCTACAAAAGTAATTGGGGGGTGGGGAGGGAGTGAAGATTTGGAACTGGAGACATCATTGGGTAAAGGTGTTTGCCACCCGTTTATACAAGCCTAATGACCTGAGTCCAGTCACTGGGACTCCACGTGGTGGAAAGAGAGAACTGACCCCTGTACCCCCCTCCCCAACCCCCCCCCCCCAAAAAAAAGTTGTCCTCTGATATCCATACATGCCTCCACATGCTTTCCCACCAAATTAGTAAATAATGTTTTAATATGTGTAGACAAAGAAGGGAAGTTTTTTAAACATGTTTCTTTTGCACTAATATTTTCTAGTAGTTCCTGTGTTTTACAGTACATCTTTATATTTTAAATGTGGTATATTTATATTATATTTAAGAGATGTAGTGTCTGTAGAAACTCTTGCCTTCAAGATGAAACCACTGTTGGTCAGGTTTCCATCCGTTTTTTTTTTTTTTCTTTGTTTCTCCCCCACAACACAACTTTAAAAAGAAAAATGGGGAAAGAAAAAAAAGGGGAGGGTGGCCAAGCATGGTGTTCACACCTTTTTAATCCCTGCGTTGGAGAAACAGAGGCATTCAGATCTCTGTAAGTGCCAAGGCCAGCCTGGTCTACATAGGGAGTTTAGTTTTAGACAGCCAGGTCTGTATAGTAAAACTCTGCCTCATTTAAACCATGTGCATAGCTTCTGTCCTTACTATACTCTGTTGCTATGTGTCGAGATCACCAAAACTTGTGTGCTGCCAAGTTTGGCTTGCTCTTGTTTCTTAACCTTGTAGTGATATGCAGTCTCTCTACTTAAAAATATTGATCCGTTAATTTTCTTGCCATCAGACTTGCCCTGCGTTCTTGATGTTCTATGTTAGTTGTGTTGGCAGCTTCCTTATTTGTAAATGTTTGTTGCCCCCAACACATGTTAAATCCTACCACGTTTATATAATTGACTTCTGGAGACAATCAAATTCATATATCAAAGCCTAAACACAGATGCAAATGTATACACTCGGGGCTACTACCTGATTTTAGAAAGTATCTCAAACAGACTTTATATGAAGCACTCTGCTTTCCAGTTCTCAAGAATGCTGTGCACTTCTGCCTTTCTCCTTGTTTGGTTGGTTGTTGTTGAAGCTTGGCATGTCTCTCTATATAGCCTGGGCTAGCCCAGAGCTCAGTCTGAAGCCCAGTTAGCCTTACATTGATATTCCTTCCTACCTCAGCATCAGAGTGCTAAGATTAAGCTGTGCCCAGTTCTTCCTCCTTAACGGCTACTCATCTCAGTGAAGTCACCTGCTCACTCGCTTGGACCATCACCCAATCTACATTCAGTCCTTGCATGTGGTTGGAATTCTTTTTTTCCAAGTATTGGCATCTACTAAATGTTGAGAATGATGGAACCCTTGACAAAAACTCCTTGATAAGGTGCTTAACTCTTGAGTATGTCACAGACCCCTCGGGTTATGCATTTTTTTTTTTTTATTAATGTCACATCCACAGGCTTTACCACTAGAGCCCTAGCTCCAGTCCTACCTAGTCTCCTATCTTCATTTGCTATGTTGACCTCTTAGCTCGTTCTACCCTGGGTCCTCTTTGAGCCATGCTTCATGTGGGCCAGACTGGCCTTTTGAAAACTGATCATTTTACTGCCTTACTTAATATTTAAATGAGTTTCCATCACACTTAAACTAACCTTCCTATCACAGTTATAGCTCTTGGGGCTCTTTGCTAGCTGGCTAGTTCTCAGTTTCTGTGTTGTAGCCACATCGGCCTATTTTCTTACCAGGACATTTCCTGTTTCACAACTTTGGTATTTGCCATTTTCACTGCTTTTTCTTCCTCCTGCTCTTCAACAGCTGATTAGTTCTTATATTTTACGTCAGCATCCCTGTGTAATAGAGCTCTCAACTTTAGTTGTTCTCGATTCACTCTGGTGTTACCTTCATTGCACTTTTCACTGTGTAAAAGTCAGACATGTGTCTCTTTTCATTGGAAGGAGAGACACATGTGCTACAGCAAGCATGTGACAGTTAGAAGACTACTTCCGGGTGTTGATTCTTTCCTTCCACAATGGGTTCCACAGATCCAACTCATCATGAGGCTTGTGTGACGAGTGATCTTACCTGTGACCTATCTTGCTGAATCGTTTTTAAAATTTCTTTTTATACACTAGACTGTAAGCTTTAAGAGGAAGAGTGTGGTGTACAGTGAAATCTAAGCTTTAAGAGGCAGAGTGCAGTGTTTCAGCTGTTGGAATCCTAGGTCCTGAAACTACATCTCAGTGCTGTAGACTGTCAGCAGATGTGTTTGTTCATTCAACAATACATTCATAATGCAAAATGCATGTGTATACTACATAGCAGTACATACTTATAATGCTGGGGTATTTTGTTTTTGTTTTAATATATTAACAGGACTGGAAAGGACATCCCTCAGAAGTGGTCTCCAGCAGTGACAGTACGACCAGGGACTTGTCTGTGAAGACCTTACAGTTAGTGCCAACTTCATTATTGTTTCTATTAATACTGATCCATTTGTAAAAGGAAACTGACATCATTTGTGTCTACATTCTGAGGCTTTTTCTACTGGGAGTATACTTAAGAGAATTTGTTACTAAAATACTATTGTATATAGAAAATCAGAGCTATCTTTTTCTTTTGTTTAGTTGCTTTAATGACTAAAAGTTAGAAACTTTCCGAGGCTTTTAACTGTTTTCTTTCAGTCGAGTTTTTCTGCATGTCATATTTTCATTGTAGGAGGGAGTATTTTATGTTCTTATATGAACTATGGAGATTTAATTATATATATGAAAATACCCATCTCTTTTTATCAAACATCTTTTCATGCAATATATTTTGATCATTTACCCTCCCCCCAACTCCTAGATCCTCTCTGCCCAACCAACTTTATTTTCATTCTCTCAAGAGAGAGGAAAAAAAAAAACACAAAAATGAAAATCAGAGCAAACAAGCAAAAGACCAATAAGATAAGGGGGGGCGGAGCCAAAAACAGAACAAAAAATCTACTGAGTCTTCTGTGTTTGCCACCACTCCTGGGCATAGGGCCTGCCCTCGAGTAAAATTAATATACCTAGTACAACTTGATTGGAGAAAACTGATTTTTCTCTTTGCCAGCATGAAATATCCAGCTCTTAACTAGACTGCTCAGTGAGTCTGACTAACAAATATAGCCGTAGATACAAAACTTCAGATAAAATACAGAACATCACACTGGGTATGTAACCCCAATGTTTAGGAGACTGATACAGGAGGACATTCAAAGATAGCCTGGGCTACATGGCTAAACCTTGACTTGAAACATAAAAACTAGGAAAACTACAAAATATGGCTTCACTCTGCATAGACCTCAGCCTTGGCGGTGCTGCCCATGTGCTGTGTGTGTTGCAGGGTGTGTGGCCCTTGGCATGTGCCACTGTGCCAGGGGCCACTCCCTCCCGAGCTGTGAGGACAGACAGTGCTTCCAGATCTTGGCATATAGTCCCAAGAGTGAGTGTCACAGACAGTGCTTTTAGACCTGTAAAGTTTGCACCTTTCTTTTTTTTTTTTTTTTTTTTTTTTTTGTTTCTCTAGACAGGGTGTCTCTGTGTAGCCTTGGCTGTCCTGGAACTCACTCTGTAGACCAGGCTGGCCTCAAACTCAGAAATCTGCCTGCCTCTGCCTCCCAAGTGCTGGGATTACAGGCACACGCCACCACCGCCTGGCAGTCTGCACCTTTCTTACAGAAGAAGGCGTAAATACTGTTTCCAGCCCCACAGGTCACTACTAAACTTTTGTCCTTTTTAAACTGTTGGATTTTAAGATCTGACAAATGAAGTTAGATGAAACAAGGTATCAGTTTTTTATTAAATTTCAAGATAACTAGTTGTTCCTTGTACTTTATTACCAAACCTATATTTTAATTTTCATAGCATAAAGTAGAAATTTTTTACAAAGAATAAAGTTACAGATTATCAGTAACAGGTTTTAAGTGGAAGAAAACTTGGTTCATGAATCAAAAAAGAGTGGAAGTTTTAAAGAAAACAAAGGAGACTAAGCAGTTTCAGAAGACTCTGTAGTTGACACCATTAAAGCATATACCGCATGAGAGCCTCACTAGCGATGCAGGTCCTAAAGAGATGAAAGACTGTTCCTACTGTGGCAGGAGATTAGATCATGTCACATTCTCAGAAGGAACTGTCTACTTTGATTTTGTTTCTTCCAGTGAAAGTTGATAGTAGTTGAGAAAAGATACTAGGCCTCATGTAAGCAACATCAGTGTTTTGGGGGTTTCTAGGATAGGAAGCAAGGTATGGAGACTTGGACTAGAATTTTGAAATGATACAGCAAGCTTATAGCTGGAGAAAGTGCTAAATTTATTTTGACATAATGGCTAAGATATCTGTTTTTCATTGTTATTCTTTAAGGCAAATTTCTCTTGAAGAAACTGACTGTCCATACCAAACCACAGGTAAGTCAGGTAGAAATCTAAAAATACTGATCATTGTGAACAAGTAACCTGACAAAGTTTTTCATGTTCTTTCTTCTTTTTATCTTTTAAGTTTGTTTATCTGTTATTCTGCTCAAAGTAACTATCTTTTTTTTGTTTTGTTTTGTTTTGTTTTGTTTTTGTTTTTCAAGACAGGGTTTCTCTGTGTAGCCCTGGCTGTCCTGGAACTCACTCTGTAGACCAGGCTGGCCTCAAACTCAGAAATCCACCTGCCTCTGCCTCCCAAGTGCTCGGATTAAAGGTGTGCGCCACCACTGCCTGGCTAAGTAACTTTATCTTATGTGGACTGATATAAAATTAAAATAGTCCATCCAAGGTATGAGTAGGGGCTTGTACCTGTAATCCTAGCATTCAGGAGGGTGAATGTCTTAGTTACTACTGCCATGATGAAACACCATAACTAAAAGCAGCTTGGTAAGGGTTTTTTGTTTTGTTTTGTTTTGGTCTTGGTTTTGTTCACTCACAGTTCCATATAACAGTTCAGCATCAAGTCAGGAACTCAAACACGGTAGGAACCTAGAGGACTAGAGACAGGAGCTACTGGGGGAGTATTGCTTACTGGCCTGCTCCTCATAGCTTTCTCAGCCTACTTTCTTAAAGAACCCAAGACTACCGACCCCAGGATGGCACCACACACAGTGGACTGGGTCCTTGCACATCAATCACTAATTAAGAAAACACCCCTACACTAGATCTCATGGAGGCATTTTTTTTTTTTAATTGTAACTTCCTTCTCTCAGATGACAAGCTTGTGTCAAGTTGACATAAAGCTAGCTAGCACAGTACAACAGTAGGCTTAAGAGTTCTAGGCCTTCTGAGTACACAGTTGAGACCCTGTCATAACAAACAACACCAACACATCTGTTCATTGTACCAAGTCTATGAGAATAAATTGTGGTTGTATCTGTAGCTGTAACCAACTGCTATCTGCTGTAGCATTTTACATAAATTGACTTAGTTAATCCTATTGCAGTCTAGGAATATAATCTCCTTTCTGTAGCCTCAGGGAAATAAAACATCTCATCAGAAGGAATGGAGAGGATACCACTTTGTACTAAGCTTCACAACATGGATGAAATTTGAGTAAGCTAAGCCAGATGAGAAAGACCTAATCAGCAATTATCCAAATCTTAATCACTTTGAAAAACTAATTAAGCTTCGGTATATTTACCTACTTCGGACTTTTAAAGTTTTCCTCTGTGTTCACAGATTAAACAGAAAGGCTTTTTCTATAAACCTTTGAACCACAAGCATGTAAAACCCCTCTTAAAATGTATATATAATGAGTATTTATTTGCTTATGTTGGGGCATTGTTTTGTTCTTTGAGACAGGGTCTCACTATGTAGATCTGGCCTTGAACTCGAAAGTTGTCCTCACTCTTCTAAGTATTGATATTAAAGGCTAGCACCAGACTTCAATTCTTGTTTTATTTTGAGACAGTGTCTCTCTCATTCTGTGGCCCAAGCAGTCCTAGAGCTGTGTAGCACAAGCCGGATTTCTTTATCTGCATCTGTCTTCCAAGTATGAGTTAGACACATCTGGACTTTTTATTCCAACAGTATTTTTAAGTGCTGATGTAAGCTGTCGTTGTTCAGCTGGTGTTGTTTTTATGTTCAAGTAAATATGAGGAGTAAATAGATGGTGATGTTGAGCTGTCTAGGTTTTAATTTACTTATAGTAAGTACAGAGGAACTATTGAATAACTGCTGCAACTTTGAATTCTCATATTCTTGGAATGTAAATTTCTGAAGCATAACACTTTTTTTTTTTTTCATTTGTTTTTTAAATGTCCAGAACCAAGTCCTACTGTTACTCTAGAGACACTAGGTTGCGACTTTGATTCAGATAAAGTGGAGTCTACTGATGCAGTCTTGCCTAGTACTGTATCTTTCCGTAACCGCTCAAGGAAAGATGTTAGTACTATAAGTCACTCCACTGCTTTGGAAGATTGTAAAGCCAGTCCAAGAGTGGGACAGTCCTTGGAAGTTAAAAGAAGTAGATGTGAAGACCTAACCATAACCCTGCACAGACTTGAAAATGTAGAACAAAATGTTTCTCTGTGGAACAAAGACCAAATTAACTTATGCTCTGGACTGATTAACACAGCAAAGATTACTAAGTCACAAGAAATCATTTTACCATCTAAACCTGAACAAATAGAAAGTAAGCATAAATGTCCACGAAAAAGAAGAGCAGAGCAAAGAGGAACCAACCAGAGATGCAAATCAAAATTCTCATTGAGGAGTAAGGGCAACAAAGGCAAAGATAAGCAGGCTTTACCCCCTACTACACTGGATAGGTGTATTGGTTCTAGTGATGCTTACGATTTCAATATAAAAGAGAGTGTTCACCACACCCCTTTCCGACAAAAAATGAGCATTGACTCCAATAGAGAAACCAACAGCAGCAACTCAGTCTTGGAATGCAGTACCTCTGAGGATGAGTCTGATGACCTCTACCTGCCTCCTTACAAGCACTTGCAAGACTACACAGAGTCAGACAGACCAGTTACCAGGCCTCCGTCTAAAAGAGGACTTAAGTACCCAGATGAAAAAAAGACGGAGGAGGTGCTGCCATCTACAACTCCTACTGGTAAGCAGCGTGCTTATTTGCCTGTGTTTTGAATGTTTCTGCTAAATGGTTGCCCCTGATGTGGGTGTAATCTTAGATACTGTACCTACCATCTGTTACTCTGGAGGAGGTTAGAGACTTCCCATCTGTCTCTCTGTAGGGGTAGTTACAGCCTGATTAAATAGTAGGGGGCGGAAAATGGAAACATGGCTGTGTTGTTCCAACCTACATCAAATGTAAATCTTACATGATTATTACTTCCCTCAGACTGATTCCTGTCCGTAAAGGAGACTTCTGAGTAGTATGAGGAGAAGACAGGGTATTTGTGATTGGTTTGAGTTCAAAGACATTTACACTCATGATCACCTAGAAAATGAAAAACCTCATTTGAATGGACTTATATATTTGATTTAACAGGAACCATAACTTGTTTTTCTAGTTGGTGAGTTTATGAGAGAGCAAGGAGTTCCTGTCTCATCTGACTGCTGAAAATTTTGACTGAGAAACTCTTCCTTTTCTATTATCTATTATCCTATTTCTATTATCAAAGTGGTTCAGTGTTAGTCATCCGCCTGCACCTACTCACAAAAACTCTCCTTTGGGAGTCTTGATTCCCGGGCATGCTGTCAAGTCCTATCATCTTCAAAATGTTGTCACATTGTAACAGTTCAGTCAACCTTCTCAGTTTGTTTAACCAGGATATTAAAACCTGAAACAATGAATCAACTTTTCCTAGTTGATCAGCTGGATAGTGTAGCTTGCAAGATTCCGTTTTTTAAACAATATACCATGGATATTCTTCCTTCCACTTTCAGTAGCTGTTTCTCTTTTTCTTAATAAATCTGTTTGCTCTGCTTTAAATAAAAACGCTATGATAATAGAATATATTGAAGCGAATTGGCAAACTTGATAATTATTGAAGTTGAGTAACATAGGCCTTCATTGAACTACTGTTACTTTTTGTGTTCTTTTGAAAAGAACAAAACACTGAAGTAGTTTGACCCCAGACTTCTAGCATTACCTGAAAACAGCCACAAACATAGGTTCCATCCTATCTCTTGAATTAGAATTTGTGTAGCTTTACAAGTTTTCCTGTGGTTATAAATACTTACAGTTTATGAATTCTAGAATACAGCAGCTGGTCTAATCCTGTCATTGGAGGTACTCTATGCAATTAATACTGGAATTGTATTTATTTTGGGGGACGAGAAGACAGGCTGAAACTTAGATACTCTGTAGTCTGTGGATGCTTAGCTTAAAATCATTTCACAGTTATAATTTTTCTGGTTTTTCTTTTTTAGTCCATTGGAGATTTCCTTACAGTGTTCTCACTATGCATAGGGTACCTGCCTCCCAATATAGATGTAGCTCTGAGATAGGAGACCGTGATGTTTATGATTTAAGAGGCAACTGGATATCAGGGATAGAGGAACCTGGATGTTTATTGTAGGAGAGACACCTATTTCTCAGAGATGGAAGGAACTTGATGTTTATTGTGGGAGAGACATCTTGATCTCAGGGATAGAAGGACCCAGGCACTTATGGTGGGAGAGACATCTGAATTTTGTTAACCTTAGCACCAACAGGAACACATTTTATCCTGGTCTTCATGGACTGATTGAGAGTTCTTGTGTGTTTAATGGAACGAAGTGAAGGACATTTGTGGTCAGTGGGCCTCCAACAGTGTTACAAACTTTAGTGTTGAATGAGACTGGTGCCTTGATGATTCTAAGTATTAAAGTGTCAATAAAAAACTAAATGCAATGTCATGCTTTAAACCAACTCATAACATCTAAGCTTTTGGGGAAGAATGTTGAGTTTTAGTAAAACATTCTGTTGTAGCTAGCGGTTCTTTATGTCTGTCATAATTTCTACATTATCTTAATTAAAAAGAAGAAAAAGCAATTGAAAGATTTTTAATCACTGACCATGAAGTGCTAGGTATTTTTTATGTTTATAGTATGTAACTGAGCATAGTTTTATTTCTGTGCTAGGTATTTTTTATGTTTATAGTATGTAACTGAGCATAGTTTTATCCACTGGTCCATATTCAATAAATACTGTATCGTAGGTAACCTACCTGAGACTCAAGAGTCACCTCATTGTAGCCTAAATGATGTCACCAATATCCTGCAGCGCCCTATAGTGAAAATCAGGAAGCTTTCTCTAGCTCCAAAACGACATGAAGACAGCCCAGCAGTGTCTATGTCTAAACGCAGGTGTAGCACCATCACAAGCTATAAAGAGCCAACACTCGCTTCGTAAGTATCATTGTGTGGACTCGTCTGTAATAACTCTTGTGGGAGCACTGAAGACAGAGCTTTGGTCATGAGTGGATAATATTTGAGCTGGTATATATTTAGAATAATCCTGTGCTGAGTTGAAACTCAGTATTTGTAATCATGCCTAAGATCTCGATATCTCTCTCCCTCCTTCCCTCTCTCTCTCTCTCTCTCTTTTCACTTTCAGGAAGCTAAGAAGAGGGGACCCTTTCACAGACTTGTGTTTCTTGAATTCTCCTATTTTCAAGCAGAAAAAAGGTATGAGACGTCCTAAAGGAAGAAAAAAGAAAGCATAACTCCTTTGATTGGATATTGTTGAAGGTGATTCTTCTCTTTTGCCTAATAGTGTTATGAGACAGTGCACAATGGGCAGAACCATCCCTTATGCTCTGAGTCAAAAGGGTCCCTTGGACCTATACTTTGTATGGATTACTCCCAACATCTAAAACTTCTCCACCGTCTTTATTTTTTCCTTAACTAGGAGAATTGCAGAGTAGAAAACTTGAAGCATACAAAACTTACATAGGATGTAGATCTTTCATAAACCCTTACCGGCACAGTAAGATATACCATAAGTGGGTGAGGATCCCTTCCGTCGTATTGATTCTTCCTGTAAAATGTGTATCGAGTCGTGATCAAGAGATTTAATGAATTGGGTTCTGGGACAAGGTAACTGTTGTGAAACTGTGAGTACAATGCTATTCCTCAGCAAAATAATTGCATGTCATGGACCTCCGGCTAGCCCTTCGTGTGATCTGTCTACAGTGTAAAAGTGTGAATAAAAGGGCTTCTGGTTTTGATCTATGAACAAAATGTAAGTATCCAGTTCAGAAAATTGAATTTCTACGTGTATATGTATGTCTTTAAAATTAAATCATTGTAGGTCCATTGTTAAAGATGAAGCCTGTGATGACCGCCACTGTGGTTTCCATCTGCTCCTAATGGTTAGGTAATCTTCATTAATCTTCCTTTCTGGCCATTACCACTCCCATCTTAGCGGGAACCTCTTTCCCCTTCCCTGCCAACGTTCCCCCCTTCTCTTCTCATTAGATTTGTCCTGTCAAGTTTTCCTACCTGCAGCCTCCAGGGCCAACATCAAGACATTTCAATATTCATTAAATCAGCAGTACATTTGCCTCATATGGGCAAGGCCCAGGGATAAATCCCCCTCAAACAGGAGATTTTTAAGGTATCAGAAGGGCCTTCTGGTGTTCATCTCAGAGTTTACCCACATCTGCATGACTTCCTACATTTACCATCAGACTGAGAGTGCTTCTCTGTCACTCATGAGCATCCCTCTCATCCATCGCAGCCTCACATTTTTAGCCACTGTTTACAGCGCTGAGGATAGGAGCCACAAGCCTGTGTGTGGTAGGAGCAGTCAGAGCAGTCCTCAGCCACTTCATTTATCATTTATCAATGTCATGGTACTTTGAAAGTAACCATTTTAGCTAAAAATAAATGCAATTAAAAGTCCAGTTTCCATCTCAGTGGGCCCCATGTAGCTGTGATTACTATAGTGCAGCCTACATAGAGATAGACTGCAACTGTGTAGGACAAGCTAAATTTAGTTGTTCTGTAGTTTAAAAGTAGAAAACAAATATTGGGATTAAATTTTGCTGCTTGGCTTGCAGAACCCCAGATGTTTATTTTCTGGACCTTTGTCAAAAAAGCTTTCCAAAGCCTGATAGGTACATACCTGTAATTTCAGCACCGTAGAGGCTGAGTCAGTAGGATCACATGTAGACTAGCTGTACTACTGGTCTCAAAAAGCAAAAATCCACTTCCTGCTACAGACACTTAAATGGCTACTTCATAGATCAGTGTGTCTAGTGTCACCGTGATGCTCACTCACTCCATGCCAGTCACTTATCTTAAAGCTGGTGCTAGACCTTTAGTCTTCTTCGCCTTTCTGTATTCTTGCTGTAGGGTTTACTCATGGGCTATTAAGGGGTTTGTGTCAACATTTTTATAAAATCCATATTGTATTATATATGTTGTACGTATCATTTATAATTGACTTAAGAATTTGAGACTTCCCTGGTTGGTAGATAGTTATTTCTGTGGTTGTATAATATCATATAAATAAACCAGAATTAATGGCCTCTTTTGAGACATAGTCGGTTGCCACTTGTTATTTTAAAAGTTTCAACTGCAGTTAATATTCTGTAGTTCTCTGTGGCCTGCTATAAAGACCAGGCTCCTCAGCAGGGTGTTTCCTGATGTCCAGCCAGGTCCTCCAGCATTTGACAGGCTTACATGTTATCTCAATTCCCTGGTGTCTATTCCTTCTCTAGTAACAGTCTTAAAAGCTGGCATTTAACTGTTCTAGTTTGTTACAACATATAAGATATTAAGAGGAACAATTCTATAAGGAGATAAATGGAACAAACAAATAGAGTTAAATTGTATTTCAGCTTTACACTTCTAGAAAAGATGGAGAGCTATGGCTTAAAGGAAGATTCATTAGGTGTGCTACAGCCACATGACAGCACTCAATGGTCTGAGCATCAATCCTCTTCAGTAATTGGTCAGTAAGGGGTATGCTCCAGAGATATAGAGCAGTAGAGCATGTGTGAGACCCTGAATACTGTACCAAAAAGTAAAACAAACATGGAGATGAATATGTGTAATTTATAAATAAACTGAGACCTAGAGAATAGTGGGAGACAGTAAGCGGTGGGACTCAAGCCAGTGAGATGGCTCAGTGATAGGATTTGCCAGCAAAACTGATGACAGGACATACAGTGGAAGCAGAGAACCAACTCCACGAAGTTGTCCTCTGGCACACACAAAATAAATACTAAAAACAAAACAAAAAAACTTGACAAGAAGGCAGGCTTGGTGGTTCGGTTCAGGTCTTAATTCCAGTAGGCAAAAGCATGAGCAGGGGATCTAAGTTATAGACCAGTCTATACCATGTAATGCAGTGCTGTCTCAAAGAAAGATAAATATTGCTACCCATGGATGTGCCAGATCCAAAGAATACAAATGCCATGGTTTGATGAAATGCAAGAACTGACTATGCTCATCTATGGACTAAAAAGAAGGGCCATAAGGGAATTTTCATCTCTCTCCTTTAGAGTCATCAATACTTGATCAGATGTAGCTCTCAAAAGTTATCAAAGCATTAAGTTAGTGAGATGGTATAGCAGGTGAAGGTGGCTTGCTCCCAAACTCGATGATTTGAGTTTGATCTTCTAGAGTAGTGATTCTCACTTTATGCTGTGACCCTTCATTACAGTTCCTCATGTTGTTTTTGTACTTCATAGTTGTAATTTTGCTGCTGTTGTGAATCATAACGTAAACATGTATATTTTCCAATGGCATTTGGAGGTCACAACACTCAGGTTGAGAACCACTGCATGAGCAGCTTCCATTTAAGGCTTCAAGAAGAACCTCAAGAGTAAGAATGTGAGATGGCCACCAAAGGGGATGTGTGACAGGGGACAAATAAAATGACAGTTGTTAAATCACAATGCAGACTGCTTAACTTTGTCCCAGAGAGAGCTGCAAGGAGGGTTGGCCTGATTCAGTCTGTAAGATCTGGCCAAAAGGAGTGAATTCATGTCTTAACATACAGTTCACCCTGAGGAACCATGAGTTTATAAGACTTACTGAGCATGCGTAAGGGGTTAAGGGCCAAGAGTGAGTCTCTAAAGCAGGTGCACTGAGGTCTGCACTCATCATGGATCACGGCTGCATAAACGAAGGCCTTTCCATTAGCTTTCTCAGCCTATATAAGCTAGCACCTCACAGAGACACTTCCTACAAAGGCACAGATCCTGGGAGAGAAGCTGAGGACCCATGACTCCTTTAGCATCCACACCTATGAAGGATTGTCATCTATCAACAAACCCATGTAATGTACTCTTTGAAGCATGCAACAGCTAATCTGACAAAGATGGCAGCTGTCTTACTCTGATAAAATGGACTTCCGTGATTACATTAAAGTCAACTTCCTTTGTAGTTTGTAGATACTATCTCCTCTATGCATCCTTTTGTTTGTGTTGTTGGCTCCTTCCTGCAGAGATAATCTGGAAACCTTCACCTGCCCTTTGTTCTAGTTCCCTCTCTGTGCTGTGATAACACACCGTGACAAAAGCTTGTTAGGAGAGCAAGTTTATTCAGCTTACCATTCCAGGTTATAGTCCATCACCAAGAGGAAGTCAAGAGAGAAACCCAAGCAGCTAGTAACATCATATCCATAGTTGAGAGCAAAGAAAAATGAGTGAACCCATGTTACCTGCTTCTTGTTGCCCAGTACTCCACCTTCTCTATCCTAGACCATTCAGGGTTCAACCTATAAACTAGTACTGCCCATGATGGCTAGCTGGGTCTTCCCCGCATCAAACAATTAAAACTACATCCTAACAGACCAACCTGGTCTAGAGGACTCCTCAGATAGGCCCTCAGATGATTGTAGTTAGTGGCAAGTTAAGACATGTAGAACTAAAGCATTGGTTCTGGGCTGAAGAGAAAGCTCACTGGCTGTTCTTCCACAGGATCCAGGTTCAACTCCCAGCACCAAGATAGAGGCTTATAGACATCTGTAATTCCAGTGCTAGGGGATTTGATGCCTTCCTTATCAACATGGGCACTACATCCATGTGGTTCAAAGACATATATGCAAGCCAGCCACACATAAAATCTCATTAAAAGATATAAAAGTATCACACTTTAAATTCAACTTTACCTCTTTATCCAACACAAACATGGCAAGTACTACCAGAAAGCTCTGAATCAAGAAGAGGCAATGATTCTGGTTACTTCTGCTACCATACGCCCCATCCCTCTGCACACAAATGCAAAATCATACAGTGCTTTCTTTTTGAAGCCACTGGGGTAGTACACGTCTATAATCGCAACATTTTAGAAGCTGAGGCAGGAGAATGAATTTTAGGACAAGTGAATTAATTCTCAACAATCTAAATATTCCGAGAGATAAAAATCATGTTCGGCCAATTCCCATACCGCAAATAAAAACTTGGACTGATTTCAGTATTCTAAAGTCAACAGATTCTTTTTCTCTTGGACATTTTCATTTGTCTTTCGGAGACTCTGGTTAGTTGTAGAGCTCAGAACAATACACAAAGACCAAGGCCTGCAACCAGTCTTAGAATTTCTTAAGTTAAAGGAAGTGCTGCTATTAAGAGTCTCGGCTTCTAAACAGTTATAGATTGTTAACCTGTCCACAGCACCTCAATCTAAGCATTTATGTGCTTAAATTCTGTAACTTGGAATGGGAAAAACCCAGTCATTTCACCCATAAATGTAGCCACTTTGGGTTGTTTGTTTTCTTTTTCTTTTGAAACAGGGTCTTTCCAAAACCCTAGGTGTCCTAGAACTCTATCTAGACCAGGCTGTCTCACAATTAAAGAAATCTGCCTCCCAAGCACTGAGACTAAAGGCCTGTACCATCACACCTGGCTACATGTAGATATTTAAATTATTGTCTGTAATGAAAAGTTGAGGTGGGGGCTTAAGATTGTTCAGCCAGCAAAGGCAACTTGCTGCCAAGTCTGACAGCCAGAGTTCACAGCCCAGAACTGATCCTCACTTACATAGAAAGTAAATAACCTTGAGGGGATGATTCATATGATAAAGTACTTGCCATGAAAATGACAAGGAGATAAGTTGGAATTCCCCCACCTCACCCCATGCTGGAAACGGGGGCAGTTAACTAGCTGAGCCTAGGTTTAGGGAGAGACCCTCCCTCAAAAGATGAGGTAAAGAGTGATAGCGGAAGACACACGCACACACACACGTGCACATTGAATAAATTCACAAAAATAGGTTTTTGGTTTTTTACTATAAATGTATAGGGTGGAAAAGTTAGCTCGTGTATAAGAGGACATCCAACATCTGTTTCCCCGACCCTGTAGCCTCATCCGTTTCTTACTTGGGAGAGACTCAACTAAGCATACTTACAGTTTGAACATGGGGCGACATAACCATCTGTACCTCTCCTCTCCCCTGTCACTGGTGAGAATGAACCCAGGGTTTTGAGCATGACAGGATTCATGCCCCTCTTCTACCTGTGGTCCCAGAAGCCTGCCTTTCACACCATTGTTTTTGATACTACATAAGACTTAAAGGGCAAAAGCCCTGCTTCTGGCTCAGGAAATCATAAAACATCACAGCTACTACTGGGTCCTCTTGCTCATGTCAGATATAACCGCTTGAGAGTTTCGAGGATGGAAGCTGTTTTAACAATCACGTGCATTTTGCCCTCTCCTCATTCCTGTGACAGATATAAAGTGGAAATAGTTTTTAAACGTCTGAGATTTATGTGAATGAAATTTTTTTCAGTGGTAGTGGTTTAATGAGTGGCACAGTAGTAGTCCTGGCTGTCCTGGAACTCACTCGAACACAGAAATTCACCTGCCTCTGCCTCCCAAGTGCTGGGATTGAAGGCATGCACCATCACCTCCTGGCTTTTTTTTTATCTTATTTTTAATTATGTGTACATATGTGTGTATGGATATTTGCACATGAGTAGGGGTGCCTGTGGAGAATAGAGGATGGCATAGATCCGGAGCTGGAATAACAGGCAGTTATGAGCCATCAGATCTGGATGTTGAGAACCAACCTTATGCCCTCTGGAAGTGTGAATAATCCCAGTCCATCTCTCTAGCCCCACAAGGAGGGTTTGCTTTACTTTGTTTTGTTTATAAAACTTCATACAACAGTGGTGATTCTAGACATGTCACGTGTTTAAGAGCTAAGGATTAAGAGCAATCGATGCTCATACTAGCTGACACATTGTTCTTTTAACTTCAGACTGTTCGAGAAATAAAACAACACCAGACAGAGTTTTTCAAAATATAATTTAAAACTATTTTGTACCAGTACAATATATTAATTTTAACAAATGTAAAGTTTTTGTCGGCCGTTAAAGCATTTGCAAAAACCACATTCTACTTCTGCTTTATTGCACAATATCTATAAGAAAATATTAATTTTAAATTAGAAAACATAAAAAATGCTTTCAATATAGAAGAGACCATCTGATTTTAAAGACAATACTCTTTAAGAATGTCTACCCAGGAAATAACAAACTTTCACAGGATACCAAGCTGGACAGACGCTTCAGCAAAATTGGTACAAAGCTGTTT